TGATTGATGATGATGATGATGATGATGATGATGATGATGATGATGATGATGATGATGAGGAGGAGGAGGAGGAGGAGGAGGAGGAGGAGGAGGAGGAGAGATAGGAGGAGGACGAGGAGGGATAGGACGAGGAGGAGAAGGAAGAAGAGGAGGAGGAGGAGGAGGAGAAGGAGGAGGAGGAGGAGGAGGAGGAGGAGGAGGAGGAGGAGGGGGCGGAGGAGGAGGAGTGGAGGGCGGAGGAGGAGGGAGGAGGAGGAGGAGGAGGAGGAGGAGGAGGAGGCACAGCGTTCCACAGAAGTCAGGGGGGTCAGGAGGGAGAGGCGGCAGAAAGGGAGCTCACAGGCACTCGCTGCGGGCCTCCACGGGGCAGCAGTAGGGGACCCCCCAGAGGGCGCCGATAAGGCTCCGAGATGCGCTTGGGCCGCTGGCCGCGAAGCTGCACTCGGCGCCTCGCGGCGAGGCAGCATACTGCCGCCTGCCGTCCGGGCGGCCTGCGCCGTCCAGGCGCCTCGCCGTCACGGGGGAGCACGGCGGCGAGGCCAAACGGGGGCCGACCGGGGAGAGGAGGTGCGCGAAAGCCGAGGAGGAGGGGGGAAGAAGAGGAGGAGAAGGGCTGAGGGGAGAGGAGCAACATCGGCGGGGAGAGAGAGAGGGGTATGGGGATGGGGATCGAGGGAGGGCAGCGCGTCGCGCGGTGGCGAGGTATGATCGAAGACGCCTACGGCGAATCACCGCCGCCCCCTGCCTTTTTGGAAGCGCCTATGTGGCCGAACGTTGAGGCCAGACCTGCCAAGCTATCGGACCACGTGTTCCCCGAATCGGTTTGGAAAGCCTTCGGGGAACACGTGGGCATCTTGAAGGTCATCTTGGCCGTCTTGGAGGCCTCTTGGGCAAGCTTTGGGCGATCTTTGGGGCTTTTTGGGCCGTCTCGGGCCAGCTTCGAGCCAACTTCGGCCATCTTGGTGGGTTCCTGGCACGTCTGAAGCCGTCGGAAGCCGTTTGGGGGGCCTCTATGGGCCGACTTGGGGCCCGCTTGGAATGCTCCAGGGCCGTCTTGGAGGCCATCTTGGGCGTCTGGGAGGCCATCTTGGGCGTGTTGGAGGCCTCTTGGGCCCTCTTGGGGCCCTCTAGGGGCCATCTTGGAGGCCACTTGGGCCATCATGGGGCTCTCTTGGGGGCCTCTTGGGCGATCTTGGGGGCTTCTTGGGCCGTCTTGAGCCGTCGGAGAGCCGAAAAGGCGCAAATGCCAAAATCCTTCAAAAACCAAGGGAAAATCAATGATTTTGGCCTCTTCGGACTCTCCTGGAGGACCTCTTGGAGGCCTCTTGGGCCGTCTGGGAGGCCTCTGGGGGGCCTCTTGGGCCGTCTTGGGCCGTCTTGGACTCTCTTGGGCCGTTTTGGAGGCCGTCTTGGACCATCTCGGGCGGACTTGGAGGCCATCTTGGGCCATCTTCGCGATTTTTTTGAGGATGTCCCGAGCGAAACGGCCGTTTTTGGGCATTGACAGACGGATTTTGGGAAACGCGCGGGTGGCCGGCGGGACGGGCCGAAGCCCACTGGGGAGTTCTTTTAGAAAAAGAACCAAAACCAAAACCTGAATCGTCCAGCACGCCGTGCACCCCTGCAAGCAGGGGGCGGCGGATTACGACACGCCGGCCGAATACGCCACCGTGCCCCATGGCGCGTTGAGGCGTTGTGGAGCTCTGCGCTCTAAGAGGGGCCCCCCCCTCCCCTAGTCGCAGACTGGTGCGTGCATCGCCCCTCCTCCCGAGGCCGGGATCCTTGCAAAACGCGTGTGGATCTGCCTTCTTCCTCCTCCTCCTCCTCCTCCTCCTCCTCCTCCTCCTCCTCCTCCTCCTCCTATTGAAAAACGCTGTGTCCGCGTCCCGAGCTTCCAAGGCGGCCCCCAAGCGGGCAGCCATGGCAACCGAGGTGGCCCAGGATGCGGACGGCCCAAGAGGGCCCCAGGGCGGCCCAATCTGGAGGCGGCCCAAGATGCCTCCAGGAGAGCTCAAACAGGGCCACAAGAGGACACCGACAGTGTCCAAAGAAGCCGACCCCATTGATTTCCCCACGGCCTCTGGCAGAGTATCCCAACATTCTCACCTTGTCGGGCTTCCGTCAGCTCCAGACGGCCCGAGAAGCTCAAAGACGGCCCGAGAGTCCCCCAAAGAGGGTCCCACAGTGGCCCGAAAGGGCCCACGATGGCCCAAGAGGCATCCAAGACGGCCCAGGGGGGGCTGCGGAGGGACCCAAGACG